GACAGCTCGAACAAAAACGGCTAGTTTTAGAATTGGGTTTAACGCACGTCGAAAATCTAATCAATGAAGGAAATCTAAATAAGCAGGAAATAAGAAGGCGTTACGAAMGACTTGCACCACTAGTAGARWAATACGAAACCTTGTATGAAAAGTGCGTTACTGCTATCAACGAAGCAGGAGGAGTCGATAGTTTAACTCCAATCATAGAGAGATATTGCGCGATCGGAGACAAACTTCATTCAAACRATACCGCCACAGTCAACAACCCGAATAACGCTGACGAAAGCAACGATATTACGAAAACCCGTGATCAACAAATACCATTACGGCGCATTGAGATCCCRCAATTCGACGGGAATATAGGGAAATGGATCCCATTTAAATCYAGCTTTTTAACCCTCGTAGACACGCGTAGTGATATATCGGATTTAGAAAAACACGTATACCTTCGCGACTCCCTTCGCGGCGAAGCCCTTCAAACGATCGAGCATTATCAATTAACTGGGGAAAAATATAAGGACGCRTGGGGAGCTTTACTGAAGGCGTTCGATGTACCACGGATACTATTAGCTCGGGTAATCGACGCGTTAATCGACATATCCCGACCGAAGGCCGGATCAGCAAAGGACGTAACDGCATTCTTGAACGAACTGCGTTCTCACATCTCCACACTCGAGACATWTAATGTAAGTTCGGTGGTCTGGCCAGTACGCCTCGCTGAACGCGMGTTACCCCCCGAGATGCTGCAAGAATGGAATAAACAGATAGATTCCGACGAATATCCAACTATCGAGCAATTCTTTAACTTTTTAACCCGATATGCGCGTGCGTGTGCTCCTCTGGAAACGTCMTCAACATCCGCGAACCTCGARCCCCACGCGAAACGTGGATATCCCGAGAAGATGAATTTACGACCGCGAAAACGACAGGACACACGTCCGACACGCACATTTCTTACTCGTACCATGATGAAGTGTATTCTTTGTAAACGAGCTGACCACCCTTTATATTGCTGCCCTCGATACAATGATATGACGGAACAAAATAGACTGACAGTGGTCAAACGTCATAGATTATGTCAGAATTGCTTACGGACGCATCGAGGTCCATGCAACGYTTCCCATTGCCAAATATGTGAACGACCCCATCATACATCACTACATAGGAATACTAGCCAACGGAAGGCCGCGATACAGAAGACCCCGACCTCCGCGAAGCAGGAGACCRCGWCAACCTCCCAAACTGAACCCACCCCCACGTGACTCACTCCGATCTTTAATAGCAACGCGCGCGGTGTACCGAATCAACTCCTTATGAGCGCGATGTGCCGCGTAAGAAGGGGAGACGGAACTTTCAGACTATGTCGGGCGCTATTAGATACGTGTGCCGCCGCGCACTTCATCACCGAGAAGGTCGCRAGAGACCTACRTTTGCCGATCAAACCATATTCGATCCCTATTTAYGCGATCAACGAYACCACAACTCAAACGACGGGCGTTATCGAGATAGACATTCGATCACTAGATAACGAATATAGTCGAAACCTTTCACTACTCATCGTTCCAAAGATAGCCGATCAGGTACCCAGCGAAATCTTCCCGCGAGAACTCATCAAAATCCCGTCCGATCGAAAACTTGCAGAYCCCCAGTTCCATTTACCACGACCGGTCGATATCTTRATAGGTTCTGGAGTAACACTAGCGCTCATGACAATAGGACAAGTTTCTTTATCACCAGGACGCGGCGATCTGATACTCCAGAAAACACGATTAGGTTGGGTAGTCGCCGGGGGAATCGAATCTGACGATCGTAAGAGAAATCAAACGTTTTTKGCGACAACCGAATTGAAAGAACAGTTAGAAAAATTTTGGTTRTGGGAGGAAGCGAATATAACTCGATCGAAYCCGGTAAACGAAATAGACTGTGAAAATCATTATGTCCAAAACACCAAGCGCGATGAGTCAGGACGATATATTGTGCGTTTACCTTTTCGCGAAGAAGGACATGATTACAGTTACCTACGCGGTATAGCTCTACGTCGATTCCATAACCTCCGGAAGAAATTGTACGCGAATACTGAACTTCGGAAGGAATAYGAACGAATTATGCAGGAATATATCAATTTAGGACATATGTCGATCGTCGAAGATGAATCCAGAGGGGGTTGCTATCTTCCCCACCACGCGGTTATCAAATCAGCTAGCACGACAACAAAGGTACGGGTCGTATTCGACGC